AGGCTGAGAGTGCCACTAAAATAACAAAGCAACTATATCTATTAATATCCATATTGTTAGCTAAAGACAATCAGTATAAAGATTCAGTAAAGAAATTTTATACCATAGTGATAAGTTAATCCTTTAAAAGTAGAACAAGTCCAAGAGATGGAAAAGAAGAGGAAAAAATAATAAAAAGTTAAAATATATAATGTCTAACTAATAAAATATCCAGAAAGAGGTCAGAGAAAACCAAAGGAAATCAATTTTTTTAATTATTAAGTAAAAATAGAAATGTTTATTTTTACCAAATAGAACACTTGTACATGTACATCATAGTGTGCTTTTTTCCATTTTAGTAATTTAGATACATTTACAAAATACATGCAAATAACATTAAAATGCTTATTATTAAAAAGTTACTCTCCTTCTCTCCCTGTTTCCTGCTCTAATGTTCTCTTCCCCCAAAACAATCAGTTTTAACCCATTTGGTTCTAATACTGTATTTAACCCAATACTTATACTCAATAAAGCTCCTTCTGGAGATCCCACTTTTCTTGTTCCTATCTGAATTGAAAGTTCCCTAGGTTCCTGCATAGCCACATTCCTAGTCCTTTAACACTGTCTAAGGAATTCCCTTTCCCCTTCGCCTTTGTTGGGTACCTTGGTTCCTGGACTGGACTCCTTTATGTTTTACCTGCTTATCCTGCTAGATAACATTCTTTAGTTGCCTATTAGGGAAAAAAATAAGCTTGGAGGTACATTTTTTGAGTACATACATGCTGAAACTTTCCTTTTTCCTTCCTTCCCACTTGGCCATTGGTTGGGTATAAAATTCTAGGTTAAAAGTCATCTTCTACAAACTATGGAAGTCATTGCCCCAGTGTTGTCTTAGGTGATAAATTATATGGTCATACTATTTATTAAGCCCTTCGTATGTACCAAATGCTGTTCTAAGTCTGTATATATAATAATACAATCTATACTTACAACAATCCAGTGGAGTGGATTCTGTTATTTTACAGATTGGAAAACTGAAGCATAAGTAGTTTAAATAGCTTATCCAAGACGTCACAGGTACAAGGTGGTGAAGCTGGGACTTAAATTCAGGAATTCTCTCTTCAAAGCCATTGCACTAAATTAGCATATAGATACTGCTTCATGACTGATTAGAATTCCCTATTTGTGGGACATTAAGTGATTTCTGACTTTTTATTCCTGATCACATATTGTTAGACTTCCAGCAAAACCTTTGTATATCTCCTTTATTACTTACTTGGGAAGGATACATTCCTAGTGAACCCAATTTTCTTGATTCTCAATTCAGTGCTCTTTCAACTCAGCCATGATGCATGTCTATTGAATGTGTGTGCTAACTAATGAAGTCTAGGATTATGAGCAGACAGACCACAAGAAAGCAGATCAGTTATATTTGATCTTGCTTCTATTAAAAAGAAAAAAAAAAAAAGCAGACTAGGAGAGGCATTCTTGAAAAGAGCTGTGTTTCTGTGACTTTCAAGCAAATGAAAAGCTGGGAGAGGCTGTAGTTAATTCTGATCCTTTAAACAACATGTTTCTCTGGTCTTTGTGGCTGACAACCACTTTGGCTGTCCTTACTTCGGGATTTGCAGCCTCTTGACCCCCAACCCCACCTACTACAATGACAGTCCACAGGAACTTGAAGTGTTCCTTAAGACAAATCCATAAATCATCAAGTAAGTGGCAAATTTATCAGGCACCCCCAGTTGGTGAAGAGGCATCTTTATTGTGACATTAGATCAGAGGCATGACATCATTTCTTTCCAGAATGGTTTAACTGTAACTCCGTTGATTTACTAATCTCGTCTTTCATTTGCACATATTGAAAAATTCACCCAAGGAGGCAGCTAAATATTTCCCTAAGATGTTCCTTTTATACCTGGCTTGAATTTCCTCTCTCAGGAAGTCCTCATCATTTGAACCCATTCAGCTTCTCAAGCCTGAACTGTAGCCATATGAGCTGTTAGGGGTACAATATAGACCAGGACTTGTCTTTTACACACAATTCAGCAATCTGCATTGAGTGCCCATTTATGCCCAGCACCATGTTCAATGCAATGGAAGGGGAAAGCAAAACTCTGCCTGCTGCACAATCTCGGGGGGAGGACCAATCAACAAGGGAGTTGAGTCAGTCTTCAAAATAGAGACTGAGGCCAGGCATGGTGGCTCACACTTGTAATCCCATCACTTCGAGAGACCAAGGCAGGTAGATAATCTGAGGTCAAGCATTCAAGACCAGACTGGCTAACATGGTGAAATCCCATCTCTACTAAAAACACAAAAATTAGACCAGAATGAGGGTGGGTACCTATAATTCCAGCTACCCAGGAGGCTGAGGCAGAACTGCTTGAACCAGAGAGGCAGAGGTTGCAGTGAGCCAATATTGCACCATTGCACTCTAGCCTGGGCAACACAGACTCCATCTCAACAACAAACATCAAGGGCGCACCAAGATGGCTGAGAGGAGACAACACCAGAATGCAGCTCCCAGTGAATGAGATGCAGAGAGCTAGAGGACGTCACAATTCCAAGTGAGGTGTCAGGTTTGTTTCAGTGGGACTGGTAGGACACTGAAAATAGCCCAGGGAAAGTGAGCCAAAGCAGGGCGATAGCAGCCCAGGGAAGGAGAACTGAGACAGGGTGGGGTGCATCCTCACCTGGAATGTGCAGCCATCTCAGAGGGTCGGGGACTTCACCCCCTCGGTGCTCCGATTCAGATCCTGTGCTTCCCTCAACCCTCCTGCAACCCATGGTCCACGAGAGCCGTGCCAGACTGAGGGACGCCCTGGGTTGTCGAAGCAAATCAAGCAACAACTCCCTCCTGGTGCTGCAAGCTGCCGGCAGGGACCTGAGTAGAAGTCTGGACTAACACTAGTGGGACGGAACTATTGTCCCACAGAAAGAGGCAGAGTGAAAGCAAGGAAACAGGCCATAAGGCTTGGAAAGCCCCACCCCTACAAAACTCAAACTGAAGCCCACCTGCTAGAGAGCATCACAGCAAATACACCAGTTTGACCCCAGCTGGGAAGATCGAGCTCAGGGAAGCAGAGACACAATTGGGAAGGCAGGGCCAATCTCACCTGCGTAAAGGCACTCCAAGAGAAGACCACCCACCCAGCAGCCTGACTAATTCGAGGCAGCTCAGCAGTGCCTCTACAGGCCAAAAACGATATAGCTCCAACCTCAACAGAAAGGACGTCCACTCAGAGGTTCCTCCCTAAACAACCAACTTCAAAGATCAGAGGGAGATAAATCCCTGAAGATGGGAAGAAACCAGTGCACAAAGGATGAAACCATCAAAGACCAGAACACCTCTTCTCCTCCCAGGGATCACAACTCCTCACCATCAAGAGAACAAAACAAGATAGAGAATGAGTTTGACAAATTGACAGAAAAAGGCTTCAGAAGGTGGGTAATAATAAACGTCTCTGAGTTAAAAGACCATCCTCTAAACCAATGCAAAGAAACTAAGAACATTGAAAAAAGGTTTGACAAAATGCTACCTAGAATAACCAGCTTAGAAAAGATCATAAATGACTTGATGGAGCTGAAAATCATAGCACAAGAACTTTGCAAAGCATACACAAGTTTCAATAGCCGAATCAACCAAGCGGAAGAAAGGATATCAGAGATTGAAGATCAAATCAATGAAATAAAACAAGACAGCAAGATTAGAGAAAAAAGAGTGAAAAGAAATGAAAAAAGCCTCCAAGAAATATGGGACTATGTGAAAAGACCTAATCTACGCTTGATCAGTATACCTGAATGTGATGGGGAGAATGAATCCAAGCTAGAAAACACTCTTCAGGATACTATTCAAGAAAACTTCCCCAACCTAACAAGGCAGGCCAATTCAAATCCAGAAAATACAGAGAACACCGCAAAGATACTCCTCAAGAAGCGCAAGCCCAAGCCACATAATCATCAGATTCACCAGAGTGGAAATGAAGGAAAAAATCCTAAGGGCAGCCATAGAGAAAGGTCGAGTCACCCACAAAGGAAAGACTATCAGACTCACAGCGGATTTCTTGGCAGAAATCCTACAAGCTAGAAGGGGGTAGGGGCCAATATTCAACATCCTTAAAGAAAAGAGCTTTCAATCCAGAATTTCATATCCAGCCTAACTAAGCTTCATAAGTGAAGAAGAAATAAAATCCTTTATGGACAAGCAATTGCTGAGAGATTTCATTGCTACAAGACCTGTCTTACAAGAGCTCCTGAAGGAAGCACTAAACATGGAAAGGAACAACCAGTGCTAGCCACTGCAAAAACGTACCAAACGTTAAAGAATAACAATGCAATGAAGGAGCCATGTCAATTAACAGGCAAATCAACCAGCCAGTGTAACAAAATAGCAGGATAAAATTCAAAGAAAACAATATTAACATTGAATGTAAATGGCCTAAATGCCCCAATCAAAAGACACAGATTAGCAAACTGGATAAATGTCAAGACCTATCTGTGTGCTGTATTCAGGAGACCCATCTCACATGCAAAGACTCACACAGATTCAAAATAAAGGGATGGAAGAAGATTTACCAAGCAAATGGAGAGCAAAAAAAAGCAGGGGTAGCAATCCTAGTCCCTGATAAAACGGATTTTAAACCAACAAAGATCAAAAGAGACAAAGAAGGGAATTACATAATGGTAAAAGGATCAAGGTAACAAGAAGAGCTAACTATCCTACATATATATGCACCCAATGCAGGAGCACCCAGATACATAAAGCAAGTTCTTAAAGACCTACAAAGAGACTTAGACTCCCACAGAATAATAGTGGGAGACTTTAACACTCCACTGACAATATTGGACAGATCAATGAGTCAGAAAGTCAACAAGGATATTCAGGACTTGAACTCAGATCTGGACCAAATGGACCTAACAGACATTTACAGAACACTCCACCCCAAATCCACAGAATATACATTCTTCTCAGCACCAACCACATCACACTTACTCTAAAATTAACTACATACTTGGAAGTAAATCACTCTTCAGCAAATGCAAAAGAACAGAAATCATAACAGTCTCTCAGACCAAGCACAATCAAATTACAACTGAGGATTAAGGGATGGATCCAAGATGGCCGATTAGCAGCAGCTCAGGATTGCAGCTCCCAGCGAAAACATGGAGGGTGAGTGGATGCCATATTTCCAGGCAGATTATTATTGCCCACAGACCAGGAGATTCCCAGGCAGAAGAGCCCCATGGGTCACCAGCACAGCTTTTTTTGCCGGCACAGCTGTTTCGGTGGTGCAGCCAGCACGGCTGTTTCAGCCGGAGTGGCTGTTTTGGCCAGCACCCCGGCGCAGTTGTTCTCCATACAAAATACACGGGTCCGGGTGCCATTTTAGCTGGCAATTGGAGCTTGGGGAAGACAGAGTCACACATTCAACTGATAGAAAAGAGGACTGAAACAGGGAGCCAGGCCAGGAGATTCCTGGGCAAAAAAGCAACACAAATCTCAGTGCGGCTGTTTCAGCTGGCATAGTGGGTCGCCGCATGGGAAATCACACAGATCCAGGCACCTTTTGAACAGGCGACTGGAACACCTGGGAGACAAAAAAGAAAGGCTCTGAGGCAGGGAGACAGGTGATCAGGCTCGGCTGGTCCCACCCCCACAAAAAAACAGTAATCAGAAACACTCTGGATTGAGAGTTCACAGAAAGCACAGCTGAACTGTGCTTTCACTGGACCACCCGGGGTGGTCCAGTTCTGTGGGGGAGGGGTGTCCACCATTACCGAGGCACTCTACCACTATGGAGGTAGTCCACCATTGCTGAGGCAGCCCACCATCACCGAGGCAGCCTGTCATTAAAGAGAGACTCTGCTGTTACAGAAGCCGCCATTGACGAGGCAGTTCTAACTACACCTGTATAAACAGGACTGCGGGGAAGTTCACACGGCAGCTGTGCGGAGCCCACAGCAGCTCAGCAAAGCTTCTGCAGGTAGACAGTGATGAGGCTGCCTCCTCGCTGGGCAGGGAAGCCCTGAAACAAGCCAGCAACACAACAGAAACTCATAAATAAAGCCCTAACTCCCCAGGACAGAGCACCTGGTGGAAAAAAGGGGGGTTTATGAGTTCAGCTGCAGCAGACTTAAACATACCTGCTCAGCAACTCTGAATGAACAACAGAGCTCAAAGCTCAGCACTTGAGCTCCTAAAAAGGACAGAATGTCTCCTCAAGCAGCTCCCTGACACCCATATATCCAAAGAGTCACCTCATAAAGGAGAGCTCAGACTGACATCAGGGGGGTATCCTTCAGGGACAAAGACAGCAGAAGAAACTGGAAGCAACCCTTACCATTCTGCAGATGCTGCAGGTGATCCCCAGGCAAGCAGGGCCTGGAGTGGACCTCAGCAGACCTACAGCAGAGGGGCCTGACTGGTAGAAGGAAAACTAAGAAACAGAAAGAAATAACTTCATCATCAACAAACTGGACATCCACCCAGAGACCCAATCAGAAAGTCAACAACTACAAAGATGACAGGTGGATAAATACACAAAGATGGGAAGAAACCAGCACAAAAAGGATGAAAACACCAGAAATCAGAACACCTCTCCTCCTACAAGGGATCACCACTCCTCACCAGCAAGGGAACAAGGCTGGATGGAGAATGAGTGTGATAAATTGACAGAATCAGGCTTCAGAAGATAGGTAATAAGAAACTTCTCTGAGCTAAAAGAACACCTTCTAACCCAATGCAAAGAAACTAAGAATGTTGAATAAAGATGTGATAAAATGCTAATGAGAATAAACAACTTAGAGAGGAATATAAGTGAATTGAGGGAGCTGAAAAACACAACACGAGAACTTAGTGAAGCATACACAAGTTTCAGCAGCCAAACTGACCAAGCAGAAGAAAGGATATCAGAGGTCGAAGATCAACTCAATGAAATAAAATGAGAAGGGAAGATTAGAGAAAAAAGGGTAAAAAGGAATGAACAAAATCTCCAAGAAATATGGGACTATGTGAAAAGACCTAATCTACGTTTGATAGGTGTACCTGAATGTGACGGAGAGAATCAATCCAAGCTGGAAAATACTCTTCAGGATATTCTCCAGGAAAACTTCCCCAACCTGCAAGGCAGGCCAATATTCAAGTCCAAGAAATACAGAGACCACCACAAAGATATTCCTAAAGAAGAGCAACCCCAAGGCACATAATTGTCAGATTCACCAGGGTTGAAATGAAGGAGAAAATGCTAAGGGCAGCCACAGAGAAAGGTCGGGTTATCCACAAAGAGAAGCCCATCAGACTCACAGCAGATCTCTCAGCAGAAACCCTACAAGACAGAAGAGAGTGGGAGCTAATATTCAACATCCTTAAAGAAAAGAACTTTCAACCCCAAATTTCATAGCGAGCCAAAGTAAGTTTCATAAGTCAAGGGAAAATAAAATATTTTACAAACAAGCAAGTACTCACAGATTTCATCACTACCAGCCCTGCTTTACAAGAGCTCCCAAAAGAGGCACTAAACATAGAAAGGAATAACCAGTACCAGCCACTCCAAAAACATACCAAATGGCAAAGACCATTAACACAATGAAGAAACTGCATCAACTAACAGGAAAAACAGCCAGCTAGCATCAAAATGGCAGGATCAAATTCACACATAACAATATTAACCCTAAAGGAAGATAGGCTAAATGCCCCAATCAAAAGACACAGATTGGCAAATTGGATAAAAAGCCGAAACCCATTGGTGTGCTGTATCCAGGAAACCCATCACACATGCAAGGATACACACACGCTCAAAATAAAGGGATGGAGGAAGATTTGCCAAGCAAATGGAGAGCAAAAAGAGCAGGAGCTGCAATTATCATCTCAGATAAAATAAACTTTAAACTAACAAAGATCAAAAGAGACAAAGAAGAACATGACGCAATGGTAAATGGATCAATATTACAAGAAGAGCTAATGATCCTAAATATATATGCACCCAATACAGGAGCACCCAGATACATAAAGCAAGTTCTTAATGACTTACAAAGAGACTTAGACTCCCACACAATTATAGTGGGAGACTTTAACACCCCATTGTCAATATTAGATCAACGAGTCAGAAAATTAACAAAGATATTCAGGACTTGAACTCAGACCTGGAACAAGCAAATCTAATAGACACTTTCAGAACTCTCCACCCCAAATCTACAGAATATACATTCTTCTCAGCACCACATCACACCTACTCTAAAACTGACCACATAATTGGAAGCAAATCACTCCTCAACAAATGCAAAAGAACAGAAATCATAACAAACAGTCTCTCAGACCACAGTGCAATCAAGTTAGAACTCAGAATTCAGAAACTAACTCAGAACTGCACAGCATCATGGAAACTGAATAACTGGCTTGTGAATGTTGACTAGATAAACAAAAATGATGGCAGAAATAAAGATGTTCTTCAAAACCAACAAGAACGAAGACACAACATACTAGAATCTCTGGGACACCTTTAAAACAGTCTCTAGAGGAAAATATACAGCAAAAAAGCCCACATGAGAAGCAAGGAAAGATCTAAAATCAACACTCTATCATCACAATTGAAAGAGCTAGAGGAGCTAGACCAAAAAAACTCAAAACCTAGCAGAAGACAAGAAATAACTAAGATCAGAGCATAACTGAAGAAGATAGAGACCAAAAAAACCCTTCAAAAATCAATATATCCAGGAGCTATTTTTTTGAAAAGATCAACAAAATAGACAGACCACTAGCCAGGTTTAAAAAAAAAAGAAAAGAGAGAATAATCAAATAGATGCAATAAAAAATGATAAAGGGGATATCACCACAGATTCCACAGAAATACAAGCCTTCATCAGAGATTATTACAAACAACTCTATGCACATAAACTAGTAAACCTGGAAGAAATGGATAAATTCCTGGACACTTGCATCCTCCCAACCCTAAACCAGGAAGAAGTGGAAACCCTGAATAGACCAATAACAAGGTCTGAAGTTGAGGCAGCAATTAAGAGCCTACCACCCAAAAAAAGC